AGCATCGATGGTCTGTTGCTTTCTAATAAAGTATTCTGGATGACGCTGGAGAAATCGTGGTGCCCAGTGGTCACCTATCAGAGGTGCTGGCTCTGGCCCAGTATGCGCAGATTGGAGAATCGCATTGGCACAGCTTGAAACCATTTGTAGTCGAGCACTTGTGCCAATTGTGTCCAGACGGTCAAGGTACTGACACACTGCCAGTTCCTGGTCATCTGAAAGCTTACGGTTGGTTGCTGGACGCTCTTGTTTCGACTGGCGGCCTTGTAGACGTCTTCGAAGTCTGGTGACTGGAACCTCGTATGTACGTGCAATCTCAGCAATATTCACCTGGCCTGGGGGGTCCTCATTTTGCCTTGTTTGAATGAAGGTGACAGCAGCCTGAATCCGTATTTCAATATCCTCATAGGGCTCCACCCGCTGGCTTGGTAGGACGAAGGCTGGTACTTGTGACATTGTTTGATGGTGTATGGGTTGTTCTAGATGGTGATAAGAGAAGCTTCTATTTTATGATTTGTTTTAAGCCTCAAAATTCTGCTGAGTCACAAGGTTCTGCTGAGTCATAAAGCAATGCTGAGTCACAAAGGTATGCTGTGTCACAAATTTACTATGCTAAGCCACAAAGTTGCGTTGAGCTGTAAAGTTGCATTGAGCTGGCAGGCACTCTTTAGAGTGCCCCCGGTTGTGAGCCAGCGAACATGCGGGGGTTGCGGCCACACGCCGCAACCTTGGCACGAGTATTCCATTTTAGGGAAGATTTCGTCCTTTTTTTTTTTTTCACGCGTACAGTACAAGGTCCGGCAAGAAGTTATGGAACAGTTATTTAATGTTAACAAGCCAAATATATCCCTGTCTGTTCCGGTTAATGGGTTCCTACCCTTGTGCAAGTACCTGCTAGAAAGTTAATGAACAGTTAATTTAGGTTAACCTGCAAAATGATCCCTGTCTTGTGCGAAAACATCTCCCCTGGCACTTGTATCAACGGATTTGCCCTATCGTACCGTATCGATTAGACCCACGGCGGGGCCAGACTCTACGGTATCGGTACTGTACTCAATGTTTGAGGGTTGCGAAAGTTTCCAGCACAATTAAACCGGTGTTATGGTAAAAGATGCGTACGGTATTTGAAGATACTTAGAAACTTTATATATTTATACTGTAAATGCATCTCGAAAATGATTACAGGACCATTGTTCGACTACCGTATAAGTTATATTGTTGTTGCTGTTTTAATACAGGTGTTATGGACCTACCGGTATGTTTTGTTAGTTTACAGTAGACTATTAATTTACCATGTTCTGTGACAAGAGTTGGTTGTGCCTCTTTCCTGGTGCCTGGTGAGGCTGAGATAGTGACGCGAGATGGCCCATTTTCAATAATTCAGTATAACTATTAAACCGACGCGTCTCCAAAACATTCAGACTGGCAGATGAAGTTGTATAGATATCTTGGGAATAATGCTTGTAGGGCATAGGAGTAGAGGTTACCTCTACTCAGTCCTCGGACTGAAAGAGACGGTAAACTTGGCCTATACAAGTGCTGGCAAAAATGCCTGTAGATTTAGCGATAAGTTACATCGTTTAACCTTATCGTCGCGTTGCTATTGGGAAGAGGAAAAAAAATTTCTTCACCAAAAAGAGAAGAAAACAAACTCCACAGCAACAATCAAACCATCACAACGCAATACTGAGGGCTACTCCACCGGTTACAGACCCATATAGTCCTTACTGACCTCTCTTTTTCCAATTACTTGCCCTTTTCAAGAATACTTTCAATTGCGTGTGGTGAATGCTGCGTTGTTGGACTCGACGACGACGGTCGACCCTTTCCTTTCCTTGTCATCTTCAGATTGTCTTACACCTGGACCCTCCCCTCCTCATTTGTTCCCCCTTCTGGTCACGACTCACTTCTTACCACCACCTCCCTCCGCTGCAGCCGTCCCGTTGCTTATCATCCTTCCCCTACTGTGCAAACATGTTTTCCGAGCTTCCACCACCTCCCCCTCCATCAAAGAAGCACCAATTTCAAGCTTCTGTCCAGACTACTATTGCTTCTATGCAACCTTCGAGAGGTCTTCAATCGGGAAAAGCCCCGAAACCTTTGAACAGCTATAACTCGAACCGTATGGCCGACACAGTGCCAGCCCCCCCTCGAGTGCTCTCATACCAAAATCATAAACCGAAAGAGTCTGTTGTTCGTGCTTTCAACAACACCACCGCGTTTAGAGAGAACGATCCACCGGCAGACCCCGTCACCCAGCAGTCGCGATACTTCCAGTCACAATCCACCTCCTCGCTATCGGCACTTCATGATGCTGTCTACTTCGATGAGGATGACTTTGAGAGCGACGGAGACCTTAACTTTGACGATTCGATCACAATAACCACTGCGCCATCCACCGCTAGTGCTGGGGCACACTCAATTCCCAATGAAACAAATCTGCCGCCCCCGAACGCAATCTTAGAAGATATTCATAATGGCGGTGCCCCTACCAGCAGTGCTCCAGTCGATTGGTCTTCCTCGCCCGCCGAACATTTTGCGAAACCCGGTGGTGCTATTCTTCGTGGTTCTGTAGGACGGCCTATGGTAATTGAAGAAGATTCTGAAGAAGCTGTCGAGGAGGAGGCTCACCGGTCAAAAAAGCGGAGCAAACTTCCCTGGGGAAGTCCGGACGGTGTTAAACAGACTGCAAATCGTTCAGATATTGTGACTCCTCCAAATCGACCAGCCCTACCAGGGAGACCAGATTGCCTGTGGGGGATACCAGATATCAAGAAGGCCAACAGGAAGAAGGTTGAACAGAAACGCGCTTACTCTACCTCGTCGGCTTCCAATACTGATCCAACCAAGACTGGAAAAACCAAGCAGCAGAAGTTGAGACTTAGTGATGAACAAAATCATGTTCTTGATATCGTGGTAGACGGCGGTGGAAAAGGCGTATTTTTCACTGGTTCAGCTGGTCAGTCGATATCTATTTTAGCCTCCCCATATCCTAATATTTTTTGATCCATGGATAGCGTCGTCAATGTCTTTATTATATCAGAACTGACATTTAGACATAGGTACGGGTAAATCTGTTTTATTACGAGAGGTCATTGCCGCATTGCGGGAAAAACACAGAGAGACTAGAGATGCCGTTGCCGTAACGGCTTCAACTGGCCTTGCGGCTTGTAACATTGGCGGTGTTACTCTCCACAGCTTTGCTGGCATTGGACTCGGAAAAGAGACTGCCCAGGAGCTGGTCAAGAAGGTCAGGAAGAATATGAAAGCCAAGAACCGATGGATGCGCACAAAGGTACTTGTCATTGATGAGATATCTATGGTTGATGGTGATCTGTTTGACAAGCTTGAGCATATTGCCCGTGAGATAAGGCAAGCGAGGAATAAGCCTTTCGGGGGCATTCAAGTGGTAATAACGGGCGATTTCTTCCAACTGCCTCCTGTGCCGGATTCGGGGAAAATTGCAAAATTCGCATTCGATGCTAATAGTTGGCCCACTACGATCGTACATACTATTGGGCTCACGCAAGTCTTTCGACAACGAGATCCTGGTAGGTTTCTACCCAATCGCTCAATTGTGTGTCTAGTAACTTATAAATGCCGCGCGTAGAATTCGCCAGCATTTTGAACGAAATGAGACTTGGCCATCTGTCAGACCCATCTGTGGGATTCTTCCAGAAGCTTACTCGCCCCTTATCGTATGATGACGGTATAGAGGCTACTGAACTGTAAGGAATTTATAATTTTGTTTGACTGTGTATTATGATTGACCTTGTTTAGGTTTCCTACGCGTTATGAGGTTGATGCGGCCAACTTCAACAAGATGCAGCAAATCAGCGGTCAGAGCCTGGTATTTGAAGCTCTGGATAGTGGGTCGGTTACGGACAGGAACATACGGGACAAGCTTCTTAGCAACTGTATGGCTCCTCAGAAGATTGAGCTCAAGATCAACTCTCAAGTGATGTTGATCAAAAATCAAGACGACACACTTGTCAATGGCTCACTCGGCCGCATTGTCGGCTTCATGAGTGAGTCCGATTTTGATCTCTATCGCGAGGATCCAGAGAGCCTTGAATCGACAATGGCCGAGCTCGAACATGGGGCAAACAATCCCTCTTCGGGCAGGGGGGGCGTGAAGCACATGGGGCCTATCAGTACTGCAAACAAATATCCACTCGTCCAATTCGCTCTTCCAGACGGTACAAGCCGACAACTTTTAGTCCAGCCCGAGATTTGGAAAGTGGAACTTCCCAACGGCGAGGTACAAGCGCAGCGTATCCAAATTCCACTAATCCTAGCATGGGCCCTCTCAATCCACAAAGCCCAAGGTCAGACGTTGGAAAGAGTGAAAGTGGATCTAGGCAAGGTGTTTGAGAAGGGCCAGGCATACGTCGCTCTTAGTAGAGCTACATGTCAGGAGGGTCTTCAGGTCCTCCGCTTCGACAAGAGCAAGGTCATGGCGCACGAAAAAGTCCGCGCCTTCTATAATAGCTTATTATCCGCCCAGCAGGCCAAGGATCGTGACATGAAGCGGTTGCAGATGAAGGGGCGTGACGAAGCCGGTCGACCTCCGAGCAAGAGGCATAAGGCAAGTGATAATAATGAGGATAATGACGACGAAGCTGAGCGGCGTACTAGCGCTGTGGTGGCGTGCTAGCACTGGGGTGGCGTGAGGAATCCTAGAAAGTTGATTATCAAAAGTTTTTTCTGCCTTCTTTTTTTTGTTATCCCCTCCGCTCTCCACCCACTATATCTCTACTTTTTTTTCCCTTTTTATCTTCTCATTGTTTCCTTTTGATTCATGTAGACTGGAGTATAAATTATATGGGTCATTGATTGGTGGTGGCGGTTTTTGGGGGGGGGGACGAAATCGGTCTGGGTTGGTGAATGGTGCGCATCTTGAGAATTACTTCCTACTTTCCTTTCCCCTCTTTATTTCATCATCATCTGTGGTCAAACTGATATTAATCTGGGCAGGTGGCTTTTTGTCTTTTTTTTTTGCTTGTTTGTTCCATTCCATTCCGAAGCATTTATTACGGTGTGATATGGTACGGTAGTATAGTTTTAATGCTCATATCCTCTTTCATTCCCTCCCAATCCATATCTAACAGCCGTGAATGATACCCAAAAGAAAGAAGAAAAAAAGCAAAAGACAAAACCCCGCGAGTGATGAACCATGTATGTATGTATGCATGAACAGTATAAGCCCCCACCCAAAACTCCAAATCCGAATCCAAATCCCAGTTCCCTTTATCAAAAAAACTCCTCCTCCCTCTCCCTCTCCAGCTCCAAAACTCCATACCCCCTACTCCTCCTCCCCGCCCACCACACCCACGCGCCGACGCTACCACCGAGTATTAGTGCGCCGAGGGATATTCCGAGAACGATGCCTACGCTGTTGCCGGAGGAAGTCGAGGAGGGGGTTGTGTAGGCGTAAGTTGTTGGCGGGGAGTACGGGTTTGACTCTGATGGTGGAGGAGGAGGGGAGGTAGGGGGGATGGGGAGGGAGGTGTCGAGGAGGAGGTAGGTTATTGTGGTTGTTTGGGGGGAGAGGACAGTTGTCCAGCGGGGTTGGAGGTTGAGGGGTGGGGGTGTAGTTGGCATTGTGGACCCGGTAGTGGTTAAGTCGGTCGGGGTTTGGGTACCAAGTAGTGTAGCTTGGACTGAAGAGTAGTAAACGATAAGGTAGAAAAGGACGTTTGATAAACTGTAGACCGTGTTTGTTTGTTTGTTTGTTATAGTACCGTATTGTCAATCATTCATTCCTTCCTTCTTTCCTCCTTTTCATTTCATCCACATCTCAATCTCTCTCTCTCTCTCTGTCCGCTTCCTTTCCTTTCCCACCTCTTCCACTCCGCAGTGCCTCCGGACGGAAATGTACCTTGCAGAACACTTTATACCCTTCTTCTCGAAAACCTATCACATGCGAACCAAAAAAAAAGCAGAAAGAAAAGAAGAAAGAAAGGTTCGGAAGGACCCACTCTATTTTTACAACAACCCATCGCAGGTGGACACTCTTTATATCCTCCCCCCCCTCCCCCTTCTTCCCTTCCCTCTTCTTCCCTTCCCTTCCCTCCCGCCACCCCCCAGACAATCAAACAACGAGTAAAATTATCTTACATTTTGCCTTAGCTTAGCTTTGCCAAGCCCTCCGCTGTGCTGCGCTGCGCGTACCCAGGTCTTATCACGTGCTGTGCAGTAGAATGCTGAATGAATGAATGAATGCTGCTGATGGAAGTTAGGCGCCGGGGAGTTGCTAAGGGGGGGGGTTTGTTTGGGTGGTACAAAGCCGGATATGGTATCATACCGGTCGTCAGGTAGGGTTTTTTTCCTTCTGGGTCATTGTATTTTGGTTTGGTTTTGGTTTTTGGGAAGTTGATCTACGGTTTGAGTGGAGTAGAGTACGGTACGGTAGTGAAAGTTAATTGAATACGGTAACGATAGTGGTGTACTGTACTGTAGATATAATGCTTCGTTCGTATTAATTTATCCTCCCTTCCGCTGCTGTTTCTACTTCCGGTAGGTAGGTAGTGATACAAGGTAGCTACTGTGCTGTACACGGGGAGAGGAGCGGGAGTTATTGTAATTTCTCTTCATGGTTGATTTTCCTATCTGACTTTATTATAGTTGTGTGTTACACGCACTCTATAGATGGGTGGTATGGTACGTCAGCCTCACGAGGCTACGGTGGATTTGGCAGGGCATTAGAGTACGGTACTTGTAACGAGGAAGGCTGAAGAATAGTCTACTGGTCTGGCATCATACAATACCGTATCATCTCATGAAAGTCGGATTGGAACTACTGTAAAGGGAACTAAAGGGAAACTAAGGCAACCGAGCCAATAGAAGGGCATAAAGACCGCTAATTCGCCACAGTTTAAACATATACTCGAGTAGAGAGCGGCGATTGGGCAGGTTCAAGTAAATCTTCACTAGCGCCATTCTGACTTTCATGAGATTCTACGGTACTGTACGGTACTTGTAACGGTCGGGATCTAGATTCTAGAAGAAAATGATATGTGTGAGAATTTCTGGGCATCCATACATCCTGTAAGGCGAAACAGTTTACTGTGAGAACAGAGACAAGAGAATGCTTGGGATGGACTTTTGGCCGCTTGGCCGAATTGCTTGGTATGCAGGTATGTTATTAGACTTAGGTTTAAGTTTTTAAACAAAAAGGTAACGTCAGTCGGTCGGTAGACTGACTGACTGAATGACTACTTCTCTACTACAATAGTAGTAAGTGAAGAAGCATGAGTCTGAGAATAATAATAATAAAAATCCCCCCAATCGAACCAACACAAACGAATCCCTTCATTCCTTCATCATCATCATCATCATCATCATCACCATCATTACGACCATCCCAGCTTAATTCCCATCACAAACATGAACAATAGCCTTCCTTCCAGCCAGAACTTCTTCTTCGCCTTTGCCTACAAGTACCACCTTCATTAGCCCCTTTCTCCTCCCCCCCAAGAAGCAATTTAGCAAAGATTCGGTACTCACATTCCCCAGACCGAACAATACAATCTTCCAACGCATCCAAGAACTTCTTGTCCTTACAGAGACATGGCAAGTGTTCAGCCAAGCGTTTTCCAATATCGCTTGGGCTGCCGCAGGAAGCGCTCGCCAGGGCTTTGTGCACGCAGGTGAGTGTGCAACTGGGTGGTCCGCGGGCGGAGGCTAGGAGTGGAAGGAGTAGGAGGAGGAGGGGGGTTGTTAGGGGTGTGAAGCGCATTTTTGTTTTGATTGTTTGTTTGGCGGGTGGGTGGTTTGGTGGAGTGTGGAATGGAGGTGAGGTGGGAGCGAGGGAAGGGATGAGGAGGAGGAAGGTGGGATATTAAGTACCGTAGGAGAAGTGGAGAGAAAGAAAGCGGTATTAAAGTGTCGTACTGTACCCGGGAAAAAAAGAAACTCAATTCAGCTCGTCTACTAAGTATGAGAGGAAAGTGGTGGAAGTACAGTACTTATACCCCCCTCCTCCCCCCTCTCCTCCCTCTATCATACTCGTACAATAGTCTAAATCACCCCATTCCAACTTCTCCCCTCCACCCACTCACCTACTACCGTAAATCGTACCTACCGTACCCAACCACTACCATAGCACACACTGGCAAAAATCTCATGACTCCCGCCCCCAATGCAGTATTTTTTCCAAATATAGCCCACCACTCACTCCCTCGCACAAGCACTACACTTTACTTATACCGTAAGAACTCGTGGAATCCACTATCAGATTATCGGCCGGTCAGCCCACGATTGGTTTAGATTGATAGGTTAACAGAATTGCGAATACCAGTTAATGAGATCCAACACGGCCTGGGGGCTGATCTTATACCGCTTCTGGAAAGAGCTAGGCCTTCTCAGGAGCTTTTGTCTCTGAATCCTGAGGTTACAGGGGGTGATGGAGATAGTGGATTTCACGAGTTCTTACGGTACATACAGTACATACTCCAAAAGCCTAAACCCCACAACCGTACAGTACCCCGTGCAGTTAAGTAACACACGTCTACGATATCCGCTGGATTCCGCTTTTTTTCTTTTTCTTTTTCTTTTCCAATTGTTTGTGTTACGAGATTACGTATGCCTATGATACCCGCCTTATGATACCACCGTATGATAGCTACCGTACGAGTATTGAGCACCATACCGGTACGGTAGGTATTATAGATTTGTTCTTTTTCCCCCCGGAGAATTGCTTTCCAGTGGAAGGAAGGTGCGGATAAAGCTTGTTTCTCTCTCTCTCTCTCTTCTACTTCTTCCCTTTCTTTCTTGAGATTTTTTTTTCTACAATACCGTAATCTGCCAGTGGACGCTATTCACGATAGTCTACAACCGGAGAATTCCTTGTATCACCCAAAACCACAAAGTATAAGTGTAGCCCCCACCAGGTAGGTTCTTGGCAGATCCCAACCTACCCCACTACCGTAACCAAGCGAGCCCACCCACTCGCCCACTCACTGAGAGGCCCACAGCGCAGTTGGTACAGGTATAAGGGATTGGTAAAATACGTATTTTACATTTTGGTACAGTATTTTACATGTATTGTAAGTTGTCAGACGTACAAACACGTGATAGGGTTAGGGTTACGAGATGGTGTGAAAAATGGCGACACCGCTGTCACTTCCCCAGCCCGGCTGCTCAATACCGTACTCAACGCTCACCAAAGCAGCAACGAGTTGCATTTGCGAGAGATTTGGTGGTTGCGGAGAGTGGAGGCGAGGGCTCAGCTGGTTAGGACCAGAGGGGGGAGACAAGGTCTTGTAAGCGAGCCGCACTTGAGGGGGCGGTGTCGACTGTGCGGGGAAGGATAACTTGACACCCAGCCAACAAATCCCACCAACACTTCCATCCTCCCTCACTTACGAGTATTCTTTTCCTCTTATGAAAAAAGACCTCCCACCCAACCAATCAATCGATCACCTTCCCTCGCCCAGCCAAATAGGTGAGGGGAAAAAAGTAAAAACGGAGCCAATGGTTGCCCACCACACCCACCAACGATTATGTCCCATCCGAGAAGCGAAACCAGGTTATTGGTTCGAGCGGGATGGACGAATGGATGGATGGGGGTGTGTACCAAGGCCGCTTGGTCCAGGTACAAGGATAGATCATGAATTGATGGTACAGCAGTAAAAGAACATCCCGCGCCAAATACTACTCGTGTGTCCATGAAAATCGGAAACTAAGGGTGGCAAAACAGTGATTAGATGGAACAGGAGATAAGGTTGTCTGGAAAGAATAACAGTGTTGCCAAACATCTTGGAAAGCAGCTATGTTGCACTGAGTGATAGGACATGATTATGGATTTGTATGCGAAGTTATAAAACCTATAAGACACTAAAGGAACACGAAAATTGCATTACTTGAGATGGGATGTTTTAAACGATAATTGATAAATGGCAATAATAAATGGCGACGATAAATGGTGATGATAAATGAAATGAAATAGTGACAATAAATAATAAGGTTTAGGTAATAAAAATACAACTCTAATCACTGCAGGGTAGAACATACGATAAGGGGGGAAGTTCACTCACATTCAACCCTTGCTTGCTTTCACAACTCTCAACTAACTAACAAAACAGTAAAGACAGAAGTACATAAATCAAAATGAAGTTGTCCTTCTATCCTTCCATTAATCACCACATATATCGATCTCCTTCTACGTATGTTATCATTTCTCCATTCACTTTAGTGCTCATAAATGAAAGACACAACACTCCCACTATGTATCACTTCTGCATATCCAGTACTCCTACTTTCCTTCCAGCAAATGAATCAATCCAAAATGCATTCCTGAAACCTTTTGCCCAAACAACAAAATACTTTGTCTGAATAATAAAGCATCCCCTAAACCTTTATCTGAATAATAAAAACAATAAGTTGAGCATGTAGAGGAGCACCTGACACCTCCTAACAGGATGAAAAGAATTTAGGAAGCCAAAACAGAGAGCTCAGGTGAAGATATATTCAGACAATAAAGATGATACATAGTGAGTGGAGTAGGACTATTAAAAACTGAAAAATAATTTCTGCTCATGATGATGATAAAAATAATAGGAATAGGAATAAGGATAAGACTAGGTATAAGAATAAAAATAAGAGTAGTAGTAATAGCAGTATTACTACTTAGTTCATAAATTAAAGTCCTAAATATGCAATAAAGCTATATCTTACAATGGTAGGAAGAAGGCTATACTGATGCCTGAGTAAACATATGAAATAATACCTTGCTAAGTACTTATAATAAAGTTATTGATTGATTGAGATATCTATACTAGTTCAATCCAGTAATATCAAGAGTGATGGAGTAAATGTTCCCTACTAGTAAGTTAAGAAGTAGTAGTTTATCATATTGATATTTTAATCTATGACTTATTGGTAAATAGTTAGAGAGTAAGAATTACACAATATATCTCCAATAAAAACTCTAAAGCTTCTTATGTATGGTTCGTGATTCTTAAGTC